ACATACATATATATATATAATTTTTTTATATATTATATAAACACTTAGGAATTAAAATAGGCCTATATATATTTGGATTATATAACTTAATTAAAAATCAATCCTTTGTTTCAAAACAAATTGCAAATCATAAACAACTAACCTTTCTAAATAAAGAGAAAGTCATTTCCGACTTTATCTTTGTTTAAGATTGCTGGCATTGCTGAATGAATTCACGGTGTCGATGGCAAATAAACTTTCCCTTGCCATTATCCAAAAAAGATAACGAGAGGTTAGTGACCGTGAGACCAAGGCTAACGTTGACCCACAACAGGTTGAAACTCTTGACAGGAACAACAAGCTCTTTTCACCAACCCTGTGCGGTCTCACTCTTACCTTTGGTGTTAAAAGCTTCCTTGAGGTGGAGCAGCACGTCTGCAAACCTCCGCACATCGTTGACCAGCTGCATGATGTAGTCGGGATCGGCACCTGCCATGTCCATGCTGTCCGACCCCGAGCTGATGGAGCTCAGAGAGCTGCTCTTCGCCGATCGGCCCAAACCCCACGACCCCGAGCCCGAAGAGAGGGGGAAAAAGTGGGAGTTGGGAAGCCGTGCCATTCCCAGCGATCGCTTGTTCAGTCCTCCGCTGCTTTGCTGCAGCACCCCGGCAGCAAACATCCCAGCTGCAGCCAGTTTGAATGGATCCCAGCGCAACGTTCCCTGGAGACTCTCAGATTCCAAGAGTTTCCTCACCACTGACAGTTGGTCCTGTGTGCACAATGCAGTCAACGTATGGTTAAACCTCGAATGTTTAAAGACAAGAACACTTCTATTTGTTGGACTTTACCGCACATACACACAGGGGGAAATTTAAGCTGTGCTCTAATAGGGATGTCTTACACACCAAATTGGTTTAGCCTTCACTGAGCCTCAACAGTGATTTACATCTCACATAAAGAAACCTTCAAACAGACTTAAAGGGATATGGATATACTTTGAGATGGGGATATTAGTTACAAGCAAACCAGGAATTCAAAGGCATAATTTGACTGTGACCTGAGGCTTAGAAAAGGCTTGGGAAAAGTCTTCATTTCACTTTAAACCTCTAACCCTATCAAGTCTCCATCAGACTGTATTGTTTCACATATAGGCCTAAGACTTGCGTTCTTCATATCAAGTGCTCTTTTTATAACTTAAAAATGCAGGTAAACACAATCCTAGTGTCTTTACTTTGCTCAAGATAAAACGTTTTCAGGAAAGCCAAGCTACTAACCTCAGATTAAAGATGAAGTACCTCACTTTATCTTAAGGATTTTTGTCATTTTTGAAAGAACTCACACTGTGGATTGTAAATAAAGCTGTTCCTTGTTGTTATTCATAAGAAAAGAGAGATTAAACAAGGTTTGTAGAACAAGTTAGAATTCCAAACATCTATTTTTCCACCAAACCACAAGATCAGCCGAGCAATAACAAGTCATTCTATATTAAGAAAGTCCAATATCAAAAACATTCCTAATTATATAATGAAAATAAAGTTAGAACTTCACAGAAACAGTAACTGTGGCATTTGCCCAATGAAAAATTATGGAAAAACATGGAAATTCTGCCTCGCAACTTTGCATAACTGGTGTTGAACAGTTTAATCCTGCTGTTATTACCTTCACACCAATTGTTTTAGAGAACAATTGAATTTCTCCTAAAAAGGTTTCTGTTTGGTCATGATGGAAATGAGAAGTAAAAGAGGAGTAGAATGACAGTTTAAAGATCAGAAATGTAATTAATATTAAGTTGGTTCATGTCATTGCCAAAAAGCAATTTGAGAATTTTAATTTAGAAACAATAAATTTATTTTTTTAGAGAAACATGAATTGACTGGTAGATAGCTTGCTCTTAACAAGTCCGAAGCATCTTCTCCAAAACATCAAACACACAGAATGACAAATCCACATCACCACAATTTGTACCAAATCCACCCCTTAAGTGCTCCTAACTAAAAAAAAACAAAAAAAACCACTGAAATTTAAATACCACAGTCTAAGTGAAATAATGATAAAAGAGTAAAACAAGCACCTCAAACGAGTTAATTCTAACACAGACTGAACCCAATGTCAAATGGCTCATATTAAGTTCATTCCCAAACAACACAACATTTCTTAAATAGACCTGTAATAAATGTTAGGTGGAAACGTTTATAAAACTAACCACAAACTAACTCAAAAGTTGTACGTTTGTGGAACTTTTTCTGTGTTGCTTTAATGCGACATCGCGAACCTCATTTTCTATTTAAAATATGCAGTGAAGCAATTCACCTACAGAAGTAGTTCTTCAAACAAACGTAGATTTAATCAAAATCCCACCAGTTAAGCAATTCAGTCATATCTCAAATATGAAATTAAAACATGCATACTCACTTGAGGAGCATATCTCGATCATTGCACAGAGATGCATGTACACTTGAAACCACAATATATCCGAAATACCGTTAAATCCCCGTTTCGTTCTATCGTTTCTGTCCCGTAAAGCAAACCGAAATAATGCTGTCTATGTGCGCTTCACATTCCACTTGGCTTCGCCCCGCCCTCTAGCGGCTATCTAACTTCCGATTGGCCCCGGTGGGAAGAGAGGCGGGGCCTCCGTCTCCACCCACTAACAACAGGTGTACCTGCACTATGGACTATATATTAATATACACGGCTTCTATTCTTTTAGAATATATTAAATAATGCCTTAAGATGAATTTTCCTGAATTTACTGTTCATATTCAGGTCATTTCATGCCATCACGAATCACTAGGGAACTTAAAATCTGTGCTCAAGATTAGAAATTGAATTATGCCAAAAGGGAAAGCTGATTTGGAAAGGGATTTGATCCATCTAGTGGCTGTTTTTTTCGTGTTACCTTCAAAGATGCAACCAAATATTAGAATACAGCGGACACAAAGCAAAGTTTAAGCTTTAAAACTGTGTGTGTGTGTGTGTGTGTACCTGTTTTTCTATTCTGGTGGGGACTTAAACCTGAATACACACAGACTCATGGGGACTCGTGTCATGGTGGGGACCTAAATTGAGGTCCCCACGGGTAAACAAGCTAATAAATCACAAAGGAATCATTTTTTTTGAAAATCTAAAAATGCAGAAAGTTTCCTGTAAGGGGTAGGTTTAGGTGTAGGGTTGGTGTAGGGCAATAGAATATACGGTCTGTACAGTAGAAAAAACATTACGCCTATGAAGAGTCCCCACAAGGATAGCAAACCAGACGTACGTGTGTGCGTGTGTGTGTGTGTATAGTTGAAGGTTTAATATTTTTTGTGTTTTGTCATTTTTATTATTTTTAATGTCTATTCAGTTTTATTTATTTAGTTTAAGTTATTTTAGTAAACTAACTAAAGTTAATATTAATAATATTATTTCAAGTAATTAAAATGTTTTTTTATGGTTTTAGTTTTAGCTAACAGTAATAAATAAATTATAAATATTGGTTTATTTTGCATAATTAACCACACTAAAATATCAGGGGGGAAAAAACAGAAGCAATGCAGGAGACAGAAACGTTTAAATGGTTTTTCCTGCTCACAACTCAGAAGTATAATCATATTTACTCCATTATTTATAGTCAATACAGTTACACTAATACTGTCATTCCCCCAAGCATATAGTGGTGGTGATTTACATAAAGCAGCATACATCATATCCAGTCAACCAGTCAATCCAGCCCGACAGACAGTTTCACAGAACATGAAAACATGGAATTTTTCAAGTTCACAATATATAAACTTTTATGCAGAAATAAACCCATTGTACTAGATGTTGGCTAATTCAGGGGATATGGCACAGCAATGCTGAGCCATACTGCCTGATATAATCTTCTTCCTCTGGGAAAATAATATATGCATTCACTACCTTCCCCTGTTAGAGCTAATGATCCATCAGGCCTGACAGCATTCAAGCAGCAGCAGTGAATCATGCAGAAAACAGACTGACAGATGCATAACCAAGATGAAAAAAACACATATTCTATACAACATCAGAGAATTTCAGGAAATCTTATCTTTTTTTTAAGTGTTAAGAATAAATTACATCATTAGTCCTTGCCATTTCAAGCCACTAAATAACCCTGGAGGTTTAATAATAGTTAATAATTAATAATGGGCCATTTAGGAAGTAAAATAATTACAAATCCCAGCTGCTGTTTTTCTGAGAAACAGACTGAAGGCATGTATTACATAAACCATGAATGTGATATTGTTTCTTTTTTTTCTAATAAACTAATGAGCCTTATAAAACCTATTATGTGAGTTAAACTCTCTTTTATTCATTTTAAATATTAAATGTTCAGCAAAAGCTATAGTATCAAATATAATGCACATTTTAAATAGGCTATTTAATAATAATTGTAATGTATATTATGTGTCAAAATGTGAATTTACATTATAATTATTTTGAAAATTGTATAATTGTTTATTTTATATACTTAGGCTACTAGGCTATACTATTATAGATTAAACGGCGCTCTCTAGTGGTGTTTCCTGTAACGTCGTATTCCCCCTCCCTTGCATACGTAATCTAGTCAACTGCGAGGTCCTTAAAGAAGTGTATAATAGAAAATAGGAATGGTAGATTCATTTCCGCGAATTGTTTTGTTTAAACAACTCGTTTCAACGAACAGTTAAAAAATTCAACTCTTAGTACAAATAATTTAAAACTTAAATATAATTTGAATATAACGTTATAGTCATACAATAATTTTTTTACATAACATTTCATATGAAATATTTCTGCTAACCTCTTTTTTTTTTTTTTGGCTAACTAACTTACCTTTCGATCTATTGGTCAAATCCTCTGTTCACTCCACATGTTTCACTCATCGGTCCATGTTAACCTGGAACGCTGCGAGTCGAACATGTTCAAAAGAGTCAATTCAACGAGTCAGTTGCGACTCGAGAAGCGCTCGCACCAATGAATCATTCAGAGCAGTTTTGTAGACCCGTTCAAAAAAAAATCCGACTCACAAGAACGATTCATTCACGAATCATCATTAATGTGAAACAGAAACAGAAAGAGTAACACGTTTGCCTAACGTGTTATATATGATATGTGGATAATTATAATTAATTTATAAAGCGACTTAATTGAATGATATACTTTCGTACAATCCGTTCTGATTACTGAGCTCGGATTTGTTAGCCGCACGCCGTCCAGGACCTTTACAATAGTCACATAGCTTAGATTTTGATCCATTTGGCCGCAACGGCAATAACACCGGGAGATGTGTCAGACGAACGCGCTTCACGGGACCGCGGTGGGGTTCTGACCCGCTGTGCGGTTGTATAAACGGTTGCGTTCAGCGGAGGAGTTTGACATGTCTGGCGCAGGGGCCGGTGGAGGGGTGCAGTCTGCGGGGCTGGGTGCTGGTGCTGCTGCCGCCGCGGGCTGCTGCTCCTCCTTGTCGGGCGCCGGTTCTGCCGCATTATTAGGCGGAGGGTCGGCCATCGCGGGCCGGTTACCCAGCCGAGTTCTCGAGCATATATTCTCCTATCTGGAGCTGGCGGATCTCATGAACTGCTCGCACGTTTGCTGGCACTGGTACAACTGTCTGGCGGATGAAAACAGCGAGGTGTGGCGGAGTCTGTGTGCCCGCTTGCTCAGTGAAGAAGCGCTGCGCTCTGATATCCTCTGCAACCTGTCTTCATATAAAACAAAAGTAAGATTATTAAAAATTGTTAATGTTTATATGTTATTCATTTAACTAATATAATCGACAATGCAGTACGTTACTTACAATCATGCATCGTGTCAACGTGAATTTTAAAATGTTATTCTTTAAAATTAAATAGGCTATATTTTGAACCATGGTATTATTTGCTTTTATGTTTCGAGTAATAAACACAACACATTTCATTATTAAATCGTATTTTTGAATACAGTCATGTTAGTAGGTGACCGTTAGAACAGTGCTAATGGGCTCCAATGTATGACGTCATTTGTAAATATTGGACAAAAATACTGCTTGTCTGCAATTTATGGACACAAAGCTACAGAAAATTGGTAATTTCCATACAAATTACTGAATTATTAAAGTCCTGTATTGACTGGTCGTATAAAAATTAAAGATTTATCATCACACTTACAAAAAGTATCAGGTACTATAGTGTTTTCTTGGACATTTACCATGGCATCACCATGGTGTTTTGAACATGTATCATGGTACTGCTAAATATGTTTAATAATTTATTTACCTATGTTTAAGGTGTTTTACCCTGTTCGTAACACTAGAATAGATACTGATATGGCATAAATCGATCATTTTGACCCATACAATGTATTTTTGGCTATTGCTACAAATATACCCGTGCTACTTATGACTGGTTTTGTGGTCCAGGGTCACATATGTGTGTGTTTTGTATGTACATCAAAGAAAGTTATTGAAAATTATTAATGTATTGGAAAAAAAACTGTTATTTGAATTTAAGTTTACATTTTTAATGTTGATTAAAATATTGTGATACTATCATCCTAAACCCATTATTGCATGTCATATTCAACCGTGAGCTGAGTGTATCGTTAAACCCCAATATATATATCGAGAGAGTATATATATCTCATTCTAGATAATTTTATTAGACGTAAGTTTGGGGTAACTTTCATTTTCTTCTGTCCTCAGCTAAAGTCTTTCCAGCACGCTCTGAGCTCCCATGACTGCTCCAGGAATGTATATATCAAGAAAAACGGGTTCACCCTGCACCGCAACCCCATTGCCCAAAGCACCGATGGTGCCCGTGGGAAGATCGGCTTCTCGGAGGGCCGGCATGCCTGGGAGATCTGGTGGGAAGGTCCTCTTGGCACGGTGGCGGTGATCGGCATCGCGACCAAGAGGGCTCCCATGCAGTGCCAGGGCTATGTGGCGCTTCTAGGCAGCGATGACCAGAGCTGGGGATGGAATCTAGTAGACAATAACCTGCTTCACAACGGAGAGGTCAACGGCAACTTCCCCCAGTGCAACAACGCACCAAAATACCAGGTAGCAGAGCTTGAGAATGTACTATATGTAAAAATCGTGCCATTACAAACTTATTCTGAGGGATAAATTATATGGCATCATTTACTCACCCTCAAGTCATTCCAAACCTGTATGACTGACTTTCTTCTGTAAAACACAAAAGAAAATGCTTTAGGTTTGTCGCCTTTTTGATATAGCCTTTAGGTGCATCCCAATTTGCATATTTATGCACTATTCAGTGCATTAAATGCACTATTTATGCATTATTTTTGTAGTATAAATAGTGTAATTGTTCATACTGTTAATTCTAAAAAGAAAATATGCATTTAAATAACTGAAAAGATTAAGTGCATTTATCCTTACAGTATCAGACACAAAGTCACAACTTTTGTATATGTGCATTAGGGGTGGGGGAAAAATCGATACAGCATAGTATCGCGATATTTTCCGCGGCAATACTGTATCGATACACGGATGCCAAGTATCAATCTTTTATTATACTATTTGGTAGAATAACAAAATCAATTACTTTACAGTCCACTAGATGGTGGTATTGAGTTTTTTTCTAAAAACCTTTAATGCACGGCAAGCCATTGATTATTATCGCTTATTCCATGGTCATTTGCCAGCATTGACAACTTAAAGCTGTTTATGATGTTAGCAGCGCAATATTTAACCGGAAGGGTAAAAATGATGGTTATTTTTGTCAGATACAGAGATGAAATAGTGCGGTAAGACCACATTTAAATTTGAATGAATTATAGCATTTATTTGAATGAATTATCGATCGAGAGAGAGAGATGACAGTTGTGTATGTGAATTACCTGCATCTGTGCGTCTCTCTACACAAACAATGAAGCTGTTTAGTTACTTCGAATTTTACCTCGTTGCTGAGGAAGATAATGTAGCGATCTTGTATCTATGTTTTTTTATTAATAAAAGTCGCGGGGCAGCACCGACAATACGTTTCTGTGTGTGTGCGCAGTGCGATTTGCAATCTCCGACCTCTCTTCCTCTCACTGTGTGTTTATGTGCGAGCGAGTGGTGTGTGTGTGTGTGTGTGTGTGTGTGCATCAATTAAAGCAGCGCATTAATATATAACGGTGATTAAACCGACTTGTTATGTTTAGTTTAAATGTAACATTCAATTTAAATGTAACATTTTTATTTTAATGTAAGACTGTTTTATTTATTTTAAATTTAACAGTAATTTACTTTCAAATGCCCCAATTGCTGAAGGGTCTGCACAACTTTTTTGTACAAGTTCAAGTTGCATTGTTCAAAATACCTGTAGTAGCACAGCAGTGCATACCTGTTTACATTTAATTAAGGTTGACTATATTAGACTGTAATACAACTAGTTGAGTTTGCCTGGTGCATACAACATTTATGACAGGTTTTCATGAAAGTGTTGGTCAGTTTGTCTGCTTGACAATCCCATTTTGCACTGCAACAATAAAACTGAAGTGAGATAAACAAACTGAATAATGTTTCTTTTTAGTTAAAACAGATGTTGTGACAGGTTTTCATGAAAGTGTTGGTCAGTTTGTCTGCTTGCTTGACAATCTTTGCACTGCAACAATAAAATTGAAGTGAGATACAAACTGAGAAATGTTTCTTTTTAGTTAAAACAGATGTTGCCAAAGTTTTCATTTGGGGACATAATTTGAAGTTGGAAAAAGGTAATTAATTGCAATATATCGCAGAATATCGCAATATATTTAAAATCGCAATAATATCGTATCGTGGGGCCTCTGGGGATTCCCACCCCTAATGTGCATTGATCAATATTTAGATTTTACTTGAAATTGAGAAAAGGCTTGCAATTCTGTTTATCATACAAAGTAATTTACAATATACCAGCCAAGTCATATGAATTAGTTTTACGCTACCTTTATGTCCTTTTTGGATTATTTTTGTTCTAAGAAGAGAAGAACAAAAACAGCTGAAATATTCTAAACATTCTTGTGAATGTTTCAAAGAAGAAAGTGCAATGACATGAAGTTGAGTAAATTATGTCAGACTTGTATTTTGAAGGTGAAAAATTAATTTACCTCAAAAAATTTGAATTTTCTCTCTCATTTTCTAAACCTGTTATTTTTGCTCTTATCTTTTTAGATAAAGGAGATATTTTAAATAATTTTGGTGCAGCTCTGTGAATTCCATACAACAATATTTATAGTGACCACAGTTTTCAAGTTCCAAAAATAAAAAAATAAAAAAAAACACCATAAAAGCAGTTGTAATATGACTCATGCACTGTATTCCAAGTCTTTCCAGGCTGTTCTTTAACTTTATGTCAGGAACTGGCCGAAATATTTATTATTTGCTGAGAATCTCTACCAAAGCTCTAATCTAAAATTTCAAATTGTTGTTTGTACAAAGGTATTGTATCACTGCAGAAGACTTAGAAAAAAGCCTATGAAGGCTAGAATACACTACACGACTTTTAAATTCAAAATAGATTTTAAAACACTAGGCATCACTTCCCAACTTTGTATATGGTTACAGAGACGAACTGGCCATACACTAAATCTCACACAATTTTTAAAATGACTTTTCAAGTCATTCCGAAAACGACAAATTCACAGAGAAACATGAAAATTATGTGTTCTAAAATTGACTCAAAATATTAAATCATGTTTGAAATTCCATTTTTTTGTCTGTGTGTGTTTTAAAATCTTGTTTGGGGAAAAACAGTGTGAAGAGTCTAGCATATATACTTGCATATAAGTTTGGAACGACAGGAGGAAGAGTAAATGATGACGTTTTCCTTAAAAAAAAGATGTATCTATAATATGTTTGTATTTGTTTTCCAGATCGGGGAGAGAATCCGTGTAATCCTGGACATGGATGATAAGACACTAGCCTTTGAGCGAGGTTTTGAGTTCCTTGGAGTGGCGTTCCGAGGGCTGCCCAAGACATGCCTGTTTCCAGCTGTGTCAGCCGTCTATGGGAACACTGAAGTGACTATGGTGTATCTGGGAAGACCCCTGGATGGATAAGTAGGATCTTGGTGCCACTATTAGAACCAGAGAGCATCATGGGAACTGCTGCTTGACATAGATAAGACTCTTGGCTTTTCACATCTGGACTAAAAAATGGGGAAGTTGGTGGCGGGCTTGTTGATGGATGTCCAACACACATCTGCGGATTTCAGTTGAACATCTATTTGCTTTTAATCCTTTTTGAAGACCTGGGACATTTTTTTTTTATCTGGTTTTAATCTAATTTATGAAATCGCACAGGGAGCAGCTGTTCTATTTTATGAAATGCTAAAACATGAAGCCAAACTAGAAGAGACAAGTGGCAAAGTTTTCTAATTCATTACCAACATTTTATAACACAATGCATGGAATGAGAAGCTGCTGTAAGAGTACGAGGACGGCTCAAGCTTTCACACACAAAAACAAATTTACATGTATGGTAAATGACATGAAGTAAACATGCCAAAATGATGTACTGATATCTTACCGTTGTTTTTTTTCCAGAGCAGTTATCTGCATGCAGTATACCAGTCTCTTCCTCTGTTTTTTATTATTATTTTTCATGACAGGCAAAGGTAGTATGTCGTTATTCCGTTTGTTACTGTACATCTTAACTGTGATGTAGAAGTGTATAGTATTTATTTATTGAGGTCTATCTTTGCTATACCTGAGGTTATGGAGACTCCAAATAAACTCTAAATTGTGCCAGACTGTGAACGTATCTCAGCCTGTTCTATTGTTGACCTTAATGTGGATTAATTTAATCAGGTGGTTTAATAGTCTATCATATTGATATCTAGAAAAGCCCATAGTTGTTCTTATTTCACCACAAGGTGGCATCCGTCATCATAAGTTCCTCCACAAGGCAAAACAATGGTTGACAGTCACATCTGCTCAGTAAGTGTTCATACTATGCACTGCAATTCCTTTATTTAGATGACTTAAATTAATTTAAAATAAGCAAAAACAATTAAAAATTAAGATTGAAGAACCAGAGTTCCCACTGTCTTGGAAAATCTGAATAGGTTAAGTAGCCTAATTATAAAATTGAGATTGATAGACATGGAAAAGTAAATTAATAAATCTTATAACTCCATTGGCATTTTTATGTACACATTTTATGAATACATTTTTTTTTCTAGTCATGTTAAGTTGGAAAACGTTTCATCAGGTGGAAATTGTGAGTTAAAAATATTTGTAAAAATTCTTATCCTTAATCCTAATCCAGTAAATCATGAAGAACTGGACACATCGTTGGGCCTTTGAATATCGTTGTGGACAATGCAGTGGCCATGGAGTCAAATCCAAATCCATGGTGTCCAATCCTGCTCCTGGAGGGCCACTGTCCTGCAGAGTTTTGCTCCAACCTCTATTAAACACACCTGAACCAGCTAGTCAAGGTCTTACTTAGTCTCAGCCTCAGACATCACGCCCACTGACCGTTGGCTGAACATCTGATGCTGATGGCAGTACTCAAAATTGGAAACACTTCAGGAGATTCAAAGTCTTCATCGGATTGGTTGAAGTATACAGGATTTCCGGAAGACATGTGTGTTGCATTCTTTAACATTCTGTCTGGAAACAAAGATGCCTGACGGCCGCCAAACCCCCTCATGGAAGAAGAAATCCGTCGTGTTTACAACTGTGACAATGAGCGCTTACCAGGATCAACTAAAAGCTGGATTTTCAAAAGTATATGAAATATGTAACGTTTGCGGCATAGACTCCTTAAAATACATCCAAGAGTTTTACACACCGGTCTGTTATTGTGGCATGAAAGCGTAAACATGAAGCGGCACAAAATGAAACATGATTGGTTGCTTTACATTTCAGTCATATGGCCTCTTGAGCAGTCCTTGGCCATTCAAAGCAGCCAAGGTTCCCAGACCTTCTGCCGTCAGTCTGAAGGTCTGGCTACACAAGACATAATAGAAACTTCCAGGAAGGTTTGTTGAAGCAACTGGAGCTAAACTTTAGACACTCTTTAAAGTTTAGACACTCCTGACCTAGAAACACACATAATGAAACTTAAAACACATTAGCAACTGCATAGCAACACACTAAAATGACTTGACATAAGGGCACAGCACTACTGCACTAAAAATGACTTGACACAATATTTTCAAAAGTATATGAAATATGTAATGTTTGCGGCATAGACTCCTTAAAATACATCCAAGAGTTTTACACACCGGTCTGTTACTGTGGCATGAAAGCGTAAACATGAAGCGGCACAAAATGAAACATGATTGGTTGCTTTACATTTCAGTCATATGGCCTCTTGAGCAGTCCTTGGCCATTCAAAGCAGCCAAGGTTCCCAGACCTTCTGCCGTCAGTCTGAAGGTCTGGCTACACAAGACATAATAGAAACTTCCAGGAAGGTTTGTTGAAGCAACTGGAGCTAAACTTTAGACACTCTTTAAAGTTTAGACACTCCTGACCTAGAAACACACATAATGAAACTTAAAACACATTAGCAACTGCATAGCAACACACTAAAATGACTTGACATAAGGGCACAGCACTACTGCACTAAAAATGACTTGACACAATAACAACCACATAGAAGTGCCCTACAAACGACTAGGATCACCTTAGCAATGCACTAAAAACAACACTAAACTAAAAACGACTCAACACCCTAACAACCGCATAGAAGCACACTAAAAATGGCCAGGATCACCTGAGCAACACACAAAAAACACAACTGCACTAAGAAAGGCTCAACACCCTAGCAACCACATAGAAACACACGAAAAACCGCTTAGGAACCCATGGTGTGGGAACCACATACAACACGCTAGCATCGAGTTTTGTACGAGCAAGCTCGTTATTTTCAGCACTTGAGATATCTTATTTATGTGAACCTATAAGGTTTTAGTGCATTCAGCACTTTATACCACATTTGTTTAGGTCTGTAAAACAGGTCACGCTTGACCGACTTTCACATTGTATTTTTCTAATAACTGCACTTAGAAGCCTGATTATTCACTGAATATGCAGTAATATAATCCGTACGTCTTTATTTTTGCTATGCAATGTAGGCTACTGCAGGGGAATTAAAATAAGCTGTGCGGAGATACATTACTGTCATGAAAATAATTGTTCGTGCACAAACTGGATCACTTTTAGGTTGCTGGCTATCAGTAGACGTGCTTGTAAATGAAGCAATGTGGCACGAGTGAACGTTTTCACACGTTTTCACAATAGCACAGCTTATGAGAAGAATGTGACAGTTTCACGAGCAGAAGTGATGGGCCTGCATCTTTCTAGCAGGAAGGGTGTGAGCTCTTGGTGGTTTCCTCTTGAGTAGTATCTGATGAGTGAAACCAGTAGTGGGTGCTTTGGGTGTGTTCACTTGGTAGGTTTGTGGTCTACTGAACAAGACAGAAATAAGGTCTAAATGTTTGTCCAACATATACTTTTACAGGTGCTTTTGCACCTCAGGCGAGACGGTTATCACGTCAATATTTTTCCTTATGTTTTTTTTTTATGTAAGAACCATTAAATGTCCTTCATACTCATTCTCCTGCTCTGTTAGTGTACTGAAACCGAAATGCTTTTGCTGTTGTGGGATGTGGTCGATTTTTACATATTTAACGTGCATATTTCTGACCCTGCAGCGTGCGTGTGAAATTTATGATCTTGGCTGCCTTCATGTGACTGCGTTTCCGTTGCTTGCTTGCTTCCGCAATTAATAAAGACATTGCAGAGATGCAGATGTCAAGCACTTTGCATCTCCGGAGAGACCAAGCCAACAGAACCTCCCCGCAAACCGATGTAATGGTCTTCTGTGAACTTCACAGAGGAGCGGAGGGCGCGATCCTGGCCACTGGGGTAAGTGTGCACGTTATACCCACGTGAGATTGTGTGTAAATATGAAACGGACAGGGTGAATGTTTAATAGCAGCTTTATCTTTCATTCAATATGACTTTCAGTACACTCATTACAAGGATAGTCACCTGTCCTATCTTACTCAAGGGCGCAATATTATCAATTTTTGTGGTGATCGAACTTTTAAGTGCTTGCAGGGTTTTGATGCATTTGACTATACAGTGGACCCAAAAGTATTTGGACTTGTAGGTCACACTTTAAAAGGTAAAAAAAAAAAAAGGTAATTAAATATCAAACCAACTGGCATTTACAAGCAAATGACTTTTTAGATCTCTCAAATGATGACCTTTTAGACTTTTTTTTAGCAATTCTGTGCTGTATATACAGTATATACTGTTTTTATATTATTTAAAACTTATCTTTGGAAAAATATTTTAAAATGAATTTTTTACTATTATTTTATTATTTAAAGTTCTAATTCTTGAATTTAAGTTCAAAGGGAATCTATATTTTTAATAAATGCCATTTGGTTTGGTATTTTGGTAATGCAGTGACATTAATACATTTTTTAAGTTTGACGTAAGTGTCCAAATGTTTTTAGGCCACTGTATATCGATTATTGACTGTGACAACGTGTGCCTAACCGATCTGATTTATAACCTGTACCACAGTTGGCTCAAGTAGATTCATGTTAGCTGTAGCCACAAATTTCCGCTGTCCCTGCCACATGTAGACCTCTAGGTGTCAAAGTAATTTCTGTTATGAAATATAAATTGGAAATGAAGTGCCTTAAGAAACTATTTTAGTGTCTAAAAGATTTGAGATTAACTTTATATTACAGTTTCTGTGTATTCATATGTTACAAAAATTAAATTAAACTGCAAAATCAATGTGCAATTTCAAGCAGATCCACAAAATAATGTTTTAAGAACTTCAAAAATAATTATGTAAATACACCTTTACATGGACACTGTAAAGTGTTATTGTAACAGAGCATTTACATAAAAAGTATACATAAATTAAAAAGTTATATATATATATATATATATATATAATCTTTTATATAAATATTAATGTACAATTGTTTTATTACTTCGTCACAGTGATCATGTTAAGATGCTGGTGTTCGATCGCCTGTTCATCGTGCTCTGTCACGCAGTGGTGCCGCTACTGGTGGTCCTGCTTTCAGTCTCAGGACATCCACAGTTCTTCCCCTGCAGGCTGGTATGTGAGAAAAGGAAAGACTGTAAAATACATCTAGATGAACACTGATGTGCATGATAATTCTCTGAAAGGGAAATAAGAATATTGCTTAAGCATATTACATTATACTAAATCTTAAAGTATGATGTTACAGTTGTTACCTTAACAAGCCATTACTTGTGGTGTAACCTGATGTATTCAGGTAGATTAAGTTATTTTAAATTGAATAAAACCATTTCATTTACAGTAGATGTTACCACATGAAGGACATTTTTAGGTTACTTGACTAAACATTTTTACCAAGTATAGACTATTATGAAGTTTAATCAGCAAACCACATGGGCTAAATTTGCTTGTTTGTCTATTTTTGTTGTTCTCCGTGGGCTTAGCAAGTGAAATGGCCTTTAGTGGAAATTATTAATCGCATTATGATACTATTTTTAAAAAAAATTCCATTGTGTGTAAGAATAATCTAAATCAGTCTTTCCTTCTCTTTTTTTGTCTCTCTCCACATCTCAAGATCCAAAGCACGGCTCTGTGCAACAGCTGTCAGCTCTCTGCCGTACCAGATCATTTACCACGTCAAATTGAGGAGATCATCTTAGACAAGAACCGTCTGTTAATTCTTCAAGATGGTTGTCTCTCCAGGTATCCTCTTCTACGGACGTTCAGCTGTGCGAACAATCGGCTAATGACG